ACTTACAGATTACCCTACAGTACTTTAGTAAAATGAAAACAAGCCACCTGGCTCATAGAAACCTAGAAATGGTGCTGAAACACAAGCATCAACACCCTTGATTTTCTCATTCTTTGGTGATCTTGGCCCTTTTCTGAGAAAAAAGACATTAATTGAAACAGCAGAGATTCTAACTTGATATAAGGCAAATTTTTTCATCACTATAACAGTCAAATGTAGAACAGGCTGCCCAGAGGGGCTGTATAGTCTTCACCTCTGAAGGTTTTCAAGACACTACTGGATAAATCTCTGGTTAGCCTGGGCCAGAGTATGACAGTCTCACTTTTATAGTGAATTGCGGCAGTTATAGGTGCAAAGATAATGTAAATCCATTTCTCTACTTTGCTTTGATGACTTCTGCCAGCAACTAAAAAGGCTATCCATTGCAAGCAAGTATTGTTTTATAGATATCTTAACAAAGGTATCTGAATATCTGAAGCTAATAGAAGCTGCAGAGACTCTTTTAGTATTTGGAACCAAAAAAAAAGTTTTATCTGTATATGGCAAACTTGTCTACCATCTCTCTCCAAAAGTGGTAATAAGTCAATATCCTAAGGGATGTAAGAATAGGATAAGCATATTTGATAACTTGCTAGCCTCCAACTGTTTTCAGCGTGGATTGCTGGATTGCTCCTGAACTGGATATGGTTTCTAGTCATGAGTGTTTGTATAACCACCACCAATTGCAGGAATCTCCATCAAACTATAAATAATTAATGGGAGGAATGATAAACACTAAAAACAATAACTCTGTCATTGTTAAAATCTTCTGCATTGGTGTACACTTCTTATTTATTTACTCTTTCATTATAGCCATCACCTCTTCTGGGAGTTAGTCTTGAAGAATCACTTATTTTAATTAAACCATAACTGCTTAGTTGAAATCATGTCAGTATAGTCATCATAGTATTGACAACATTTCTTAGAAGCTTTAGAAGCTCTAGAAAATTGATGTTGTTTTGAAAGCATTGTTCCTTCAGCTTCCCCTTTCTTCCCCCTCCAAATTCAGGACTTCATCCTTAATTTTGGAACTTCTACCCGCTAATAACTAATGTGAACATGAGCTAATCTGGTGAGGATAGTCATCTCTCATACAAGCATGTGATAGTATTAATGTAGCCAATTCAGATTGGGACAGCCTGTTTGTAAATCTCTGTTAAAAGTATTCTTAAATAAAAACCATGATAAAATAACATCAGTGAGCAAAATTATAACTGAAAGCTTGATCGCAGAAATGTCTCCAAGGCCATGTAGAGATGATTCAGTGACATGGTACTGTTTTACAAATAGCACAAATATTGATAAGGTTTTATTTTTTAAAAAAATCCTGATTAAAAATGTGGGGTAGTATGGAAAGCTATCTTCTATATTTAAAATAGCTGCTTAATTTTGCAAAAGTATTTCAAAAGAAAAAAACAGGTAACTGGATTAAGCAATAGCTTAATCAAATTCACAACTCATTTTAAGGCTGCTGGTATAGACGGCTTTGTTATTAAATATAAAAGCAGTGCTGATATGTTGAGCAAGAGTGAACTTTCTGAGAAACAGTTATAAAACCATCTGTTCAAGGGTGCTGGGAATTTGGAGAATTATTCTGCGGATCTACTTCAGTGTCTTTCATTTAGAATAATTTAGTCTTGCTTTTGCTATGGACATTTGTTCAGTGAAGGGCTCTCCTACAGTTAACATAACACTGCTGAAGTAAACTTTTTCAGCTTGAATACATAATTTGGAAATGAGCAGTGATTTGTAAACCTCGAGGAAAACTGTAGTAATTATCTTGAATGCGTTAGCTGTGAGAACTAAATGACTAATTATATAAGTATCTGCTGCCTCTTTTAATGTCAAAGACTGGATATCGTAGAGTATAGCAGCAGTACTGCTACTTTACACCCTTAAATTAATTTTCAGTGTTTGTGGCTATGACTGATTTTGTAGGATTTTTATGGAATAAAATTCAGAGCCTAGTTCTACTCATGCTTTCTGGTCTTGACCAAACAGTGACAGTTTGTACACACTTGTCAACTGAATTAGACAAACCGTATGTACTCCCACCAGCCTCCTGTTTGTGGGTGGCAGCGTACAAGAACAGAACCGGGTACTTTCTCTGCTTGGCATCCCTCAACAGTGCAGATCCAAAAGATGCAATTTGATTCCAAAACTGTTTTGCTAGTCAACAAGTACCGTACCGCACCCACATTTCTAACTAGCAGATGGTCAGGCAAGCCTGTATAACATGGTGAGGGATTTCACTACATCTCTTAAAAGTAAATAAACAGTATTTTAAAATTCTATTTAAAAAATCTAAATTACAGATTCAATTAGCCATGAAAGCATAGCATCTTATAAGTATAGGATTTTATATTATCTGTAAAAGTTTAATGATCACCTTAGATAAGTATTACTTCAGTAGTTTAAAGTGCTTCTTAAGCATGAGACGGTATTTATTTAAGGTATTGGACATCCTGATGCCCTAAATATCAGAGACTTCTGACATTTGTTCTGGAGGAAAATATCAAGTAGTAGTCTACTGTAAATCCTCATTTTGATTAAAAATAAAAAAAGCATTTAGAACAAGAAGTCTTTCAGCATGAATGAGCAGACCAAAAGATTTAATTAACTTCAAGCTATTATGCATTTGTGTGAAACCATGCTGAAACTACAACCCTGTCAGCACTGTATTCTTTCTGTGATTTCTAAATCATAGTAGTAACAAACACATTTTTCCTGGTCACTAGCCCGATGGACTGCTCTTTGCTCTGGACACCAAGCTAGGTGCTTCCCTGCTGTTCATGAATACAAGATTCTGCAGGCCAGGTTGTGGTTGCTTCTGTTTCTCTCTTGATTGTATTCCACTTAGTCTTTCTGTGACTGCTATGTGACTTTTTGCATAGGTGCATAGATTTGGCTTGAATAATCTCAGTTTGGGATTTTAATATGCATAAAAATTGTAACTAGAATGAAGACTGTAAAATTCAAGTCAGATTCCTTTTTCTCAATAGGAGCATGCTTAGAATTTTACTATGATAGGGACTTTGCCTTACTGAGCTCACCATCTATATGATAAACTGCAATACTGATGTTTGCTCTAATAGACTAATTTAATACACAAAAATGAAATTTCCACAAAGTCCTCTAATGAGTTAGTGTCACAATGAGGAAAAAAGACAGTCTGATTACAGAAAATATTAAGTTCTAAAACCATATTCAGCATTCTCTATTCCCCTCTGCAGTTATGTAATAGCAGCAGCAGCCAAATTCGAGGAAAATTGCTAATTAGGTTTCACCCAGGAATCTGTATCTAGCTTTATCAATTTTATCAGAAATGTGTGATCTGTCAGTCTCTCTCACTTCCCTGCACTGTGACCTCTGCTCTGACTTTCTGTTCTGTTAAGAACACTTAATCTGTCTTCAGCATAACAGTTTATCCAAGGGAACTAATCTTATTTATTTTTAAAAATCTGTCTTCTGTACTTTGTACATATCAAGAGCACACTTTGTAGCAATATACTTTATCCAGACTGCATCATTAATTGAATTTACACAGTACCTCTCAGCTCTAAAATAAGGCGTTTTACCAAAGAAATCAGTAGTATAATAATGAAGTTGATTCAGTGTTTCCAAATTCTAAGCTGAAAGAAAAAGAAGTAAGTTTTCAAGTTGATTTTACAGATGAAAGGAGTCAAGTATTTTTTATATCTGAATAATTATAGTGAGAAGATGCTAAGTGGAAAAAAACCCCCACATTATGTGATATGACCTTTGCTTACTGCTAAGACTTGAACTCCAGCATCAGAATATCCCTACTAATGTAAATTATTATCATCCAGGTTTATGAAAAGTGCTGAGCAAATTAAGAGAACAAAGCAGAGACTGGTTTGTACTAAGTCAAAACTGAAATTACTGGCTTCCATTTGCTTTACAATGGGTTTTTTTTTTTTCTAATAGTCATTCATCTGGCTGTTGAGTGCCCATGTGGCATCCTCACAGGGAATGCACTACAGTAGTTTTCAAAGGATGGAAATTATCTAATGAGTAAAATTTGTTTACTCACATTAATAGCAAGATCATATCCATTAGCATTAGCATTCAAAATATAAGAATCTTATTCAAATCTGACATCTGCATTACTAGAGGATGTGATATATTTATATGTTCTCTAGTCTATTTTATTGAAATACCATTATTGTAAACAAGTTCTGAGTGCTGTAGTTAATTTGTATCCATTAAGTCCAAAGACATTTGTGTGAACCAACACAGGCAGGACACAAGGACAACCACAAAAACCACGGATAAATTCCAAAAAGCAAATTTAATTTCATTACCTCACAAACTGAGGGATCACTGAAGCAGCACCCAGGGCAGAGGCACGTCAGCGGGAGCGCAGGCACCACAGAGCTCGGTCCTTGCTAGAGAGAGACAGAGATTCCAAACCTGCTGATTAGGGATTTTTAGCAGGCAGGAGTTTTCCATGGTGCTTTGATCTTTCTCCCAGCAGGGCAGGAATCCCAGGCGTGTTCAGGGTGCCCCTGAGTCTGTCCCAGGCCTGTGTTATCTAAAGGCAGATGTTCTACTTGTCAAGCCCATAAGACTAAACAGTGATTAGCAGTGTCATGTGTTTTTGGACACCCCAGCTGCAAGTTGCTTGAGTGTATTTACAGTCCTCCTTGCTAATCTTCCGTCATATTCCCACAATATTATAACCTGAAATGACTAGAAAGGACAAGTGAACAAAATCTAAACTACTGGTGTTGTGAGAAAAACTGCAGTAGAAGTGGAAAAGCTATTAATTTCCACTTTAAAAATTTAGCTAGTAAAGGAAATAAATGCAACCTTTTGAACTTAATTGTATGTGGTCTGAAAGTTTGTTGTAGTGACTAACTAAATACTGGATGGGTTTTTTAAAAAATAAGCCTACTGAATTAATTAATCACTTATGGGTTGCATTGCTTTTTACTTAGCCCTGAAGTTGTAAAGAGTGAGCCGTATGGAGAGAAGGCTGATGTCTGGGCTGCAGGATGCATCCTTTATCAGATGGCAACTCTGAACCCACCATTTTACAGCACCAATATGCTCTCCTTGGCAACTAAGGTATTTGGATTTGCCAGATCAACCTACCAGCTATTTCTGCATGTGTTCACTAGATCCATGGGAATTTATGTTTAAGGTCATAGAAGCATAAACAGCTCTCTGGTCTGATCTGTGAATGAGCACACGTTTATCATAGTATGAATTACTATCTTGCCATTCTAATTAAACATGTTGCTTGAGAATGTTAGTATATTATTACCTCTCAGACTAGCATATTTTTATCATTGGCAATAGGAGCTTTAGATATATAAAATCTCTTGATGTACTATAGTATTGGATTTTCTATGGCATTGTGTATTACACCTTAGGATGTGATCACAAATCAAAAGAAAATCCTTTTTTTATAAATATATCCCTTATTCGGATGTTGTAGGCCTTTGACCTACAGTGATTATGTACATTAATGTCGATACCTGATTAGAAGTGACATTCTGCATTAGAAGGTGTGTTCTAAGTTGTTTTGCAAGTTAGAGCTGATGATGTAATGCCCATCAGGTTGTCTGAAGGAGCAATACTTATCATATGGAATTTTCAAATAAATAATGGAATGTTTTTCTTCACTCAACTGGAGATTATTTATTTTGCAGATAGTAGGGGCTATGTATGAACCTGTGCCAGAAGGACTGTACTCTGAAAAAGTGTCCTTTACTATTAAGAGGTAA